TTGTTAATAAACCAGATCATAAATTAACAATCATAATAAATAAGGTATACCTATATTTATGTTTGTACACAGAAATATCATTGTATTTTTTGATTTACAAACCATAGCTGTACAACTGATAACAAAAGCATTCAATATGGTATGTTAGTTGTTATTACCTCTCACTGTATCAATAATGTACAGTAGTAATAATAAGAATAATAAATGTGAACTCTAACTATCCTGATGTTGTATAATTTTAAGGGTAAACATTATATAGAATTAGATCTAAATACAAATTGTGTTTACGTTTAACAGCAAACAAAGTTCACATTATATCACTAAAAAAAACTTCATTTCTAAATATTTTACTCCTACATTGGCCAGTCATAAATTGCTGTGCATTCACTTTTATTGCATTGAAATAGTGAATAAATAAGTGTAACAACAAAATAGCTGAAACATTAAACAGATTTAATATTCTAAGGCGATTAGGATTTCTATTGAATGAAAAGAAGTTTGGAGGTACTATGTTCTGTCTTAGCTGAATATTCCATCCATGATGTTTTCATTGTCTTGCTTGATAGCTTCATATCTCGTCAAATGTACTGTTCAAAATAAGGAAAGTAGCCGAAGAAAAATATTTTTCAGATGATTTTCCTTGAATCCTACATTTGAAGTTTAGTGAATTATTGTTTATTGCTTTATAATTCTTTAAAGATGTTTGGTCAATATTTTCAAAAACTGGATTGTGAGTGTTACGGAAAACTATTGTTCTAAACTATCTAATCATGAAAATTTACTACACAAATTTCTAAACTTCTCTGATGTATCCGATACCGGTTGTTCTTATTTATTCGTTCTGTTTAACACATAGATTACACGTCTTTATTTCTACAAAAGATGATTTAATTATTTCAAACAATGACAATGGAGTTTATAAGGGACTGGTACACATCTAGTTTAGAATAAATAAAAAATATGTACTTTATCAAATTAAGCCTAAGTTATTTATATGACATTATTAAATGTTACTCTCCTTCCTAATATAAATATATATGTAACCATAGAGAGATAGAAATAAGTGCAAAATATCCTCATGAAAATAATCTTTATTTTTTAGATCATCATTGTTATAATAGAATTAAATGAACTAAAAAGTACACGCTTCAAGTGAAATTATCCATAATTATAGTCATTCAGAAAAAAAAGTAAAACAATGTCAACTTTCTTTGTAATACGTTTTTAACGACATATTTTTCATGATGTACCTTACCGATGCTTCTCAGTAATAACAATTGTATAAATGTAACCTAAGCGAGCTTCAAAGTAGACAGTAGGCATACCTTACTATATTATTTTTGAATTTTTTTTCTTTAAATAAATAACAAGATAATTAGTGGATACTATTAGATATGTGTTTTAAACAAAAATGTCACCGAGTTCATTTCATGCCTTGCTAATATCGATCATCAAGTTAATAGTATGATCTACTGTTATATGTATAAATTACATTTTGAATAGGTTGCTATAAATATGAGTTCAGTCAAAATAATATATACTTCTATTAAAGTATGAAAATGATATTCAACAATCAAGAATACTGTTATTTCAAACACAAATATTATATTAGAGGTGAATAATGAAACTCGTCGAGTCTTATAGTTTACAAATTACATCGATAAGTATTTGATTAAGATTTTTGTCAGAAGGGGTTTGTGGAGATTTTAGAAATTTTCACAGATTGAAATCATGAGTCGGTTGAAGCTAGACCATCATTGAAAACCTGGAAGCACTGAACGGCCGTTTCGTCTAAAGGTCTAATGGTTAAGTGCTCGCGCGCGAAGCCAATAGGTCCTGGGTTTGAATCCCGCGGGGTGCGGGATCGTGGATGCGCACTGCTGAGGAGTCCCATACTAGGACGAAACGGCCATCCAGTGCTTCCAGGTTTTCAATGATAGTGTAGCTTCGACTGACTCATGATTTCAATCTGTAAGATTTTTGTAATAAATCAAATACCTGTCTCACAAAAAAGTCACTTAATAATAATTTATAAAATATCATGTTTAAAAACAATAATAGAAAATTTAATTTAATTATCACATATTGTGTTATAAAGTAAATATTGGTTTATTGTGAACTCATCTTATTTTCGTTTGGTTGTTTTCTTTTGTTGTTATACTGATGATTGATTTTCTTTGAGGGGGTGGGACAAATAGTACATTTATTCATATTATAAAAAGTAAAAATATGTCTTAATAAATAAAATCTAAGAAACTATCGATGTTAAATACAACAATAGAATAAAGGAAATATTGTAAAATACTGAAATTTATTATTTTTATTATCAAGTCATATGACTTTTAATGTACTTTCTAACCTTATTAAGCCATCAATTTTATGCTTTTATATTTGCTTATATATATATATTTATCCTAAGAACTTACATGAAAATTTTATTTCTCTTCTAAAAACCAATTGATATATTTCGATACATAACAGTATTCTTCATAGATGTAAATAAATTTCAATAATTAAAAATGTGTCACAAATAATTGTGATTGTATTGAATATGAAAGAAACTAAATACTTGGCTTTTTCTCAGTAGACAAAAACAGTTTCTGGTTTAAATTGATATTTCTACTGTCTTATACTATCTAAACAAAATTAAATGGATTAATTACAACAATTTACCAACAACATTAACTTAAATAGATTTTTTGTAGAATTTCTCGAATGTCTTGGAATTTATGTGCATAACTTTGGGACACTGAGCTGACCAGATCAATATTCTTTTCAGAAGCTAGGCAGATGGTTTTCTTCAAGTTGCTATAAGGTAAGAGTTGGTGCAGATAAAGCTGTCAAGAATATAAGCAAAGATTCATAATCACGTTATCTAGTTAACAGAAAGCTACACTGCCAGAATACTCATTTTGTATGTGAAAATGAAGTCTAGTTACAAGTTCGGTTTTCCGACTTAGCTTGTAGAGATTTGCATTTTTTATTCAGATAACGACCTACCATAACTTTCAGCTTTCGTACGGATTTCAGTCAATATCTATTATATCTAGTAAGAATATGTATCATGATAGTTCATAAATGATTGCTATCGGTTATCATTCATTTATTCTTTGTTCGAATATAACACTATTCTCATCCACTTCTTAACTGTTTATATCCAAATTCATTGTTCAAATATAAGTAAAGGTTTCATGACTGGACGCATTGATTAAACAATGTTGAAACTACATATTTTATAAGTTCTTAACCAAAAGAAAAATAGTTCTACAAATAAGTGATACGCTTAGACAATGAAACCACATCATTTACTGTTAGAACGGTTTCCGAGAACTAAGACGAAGCCTCTAAAGGCCTTAGAAGAGTTGAAGAGCTCCACTCAATCAAAACGTAATAGAACTTTCTAGAATATCAATGTCGCATGATACTATTGGCCAGTAGCATTACATGCCTATTTGCGGATTGGTTGACTTATAATGTTGATTTAACAAACGCTAATATCTATAAGTACCTGTAATTTTCTGTACATTTTGATTTTTGCCCAACAAATATTTTCTTCGGTCTTCTGTCTTATTTGCGACTCGAAGGGTTCTGGCGTTCGAGCGCTCAAGTTATACGCGGTATATCTAAGCTCTAGCTATAACACTTACATATATATGTATATATTTGATTACTATAAGTACCAAGAAATAAAAACTTACTTATAATTTACCCTTTAACGAAGTTTCTTTATAAATAATTAAACAGTCAATTTCCATGCTTGATAATAGATTGCTAATGAAATAGTTTTGTTTGATTATTTTTACGAGATAGTTTTTCACTACCTCTTCTCATGTAGTTAATTTAAATTATAATTAAATTTAATTAACAAATAAATTTCAAAATGAATTTTTCCTTTAATCATATTGATAAAATGAATTTGGTCTGTAACAACACAAACAGATTGATCTGTTTTCATGGAATTAATTTTTAATTCTTTAATGGAACTTTCATTTTGATACAATGAAAATAAATCACTTTTAGTTTATATTTTAATTGTGTTCAATGAGGTTTGATGTGTAATTGTGTAGAAAATTATTTCTGTAAACTTATTAATTATAAATTTTAAGCTGAAAAACTCAAAACTGAACTGATAATGATGTTGACAAATTGCTATCATATTAATTAAATTTTCACTTCATCAAATCATAATAAAACGTAATCATAAATAAATAACTTTTCAATTAGTTTCTCAATAAAATTTGTTCACCTAAATAGATTTATCATTAATAGTTTTAATAAAATAGTTCTAAAAAGCGGCTACTTTAATTGAAATTATTCAGATAGGATATGCTTCAAGTGGTCTAACAGGAATAGTAGTAATAATAGTCTTAAAATATATATACAACGTTTTGGATGAAATGAAAATATGACAGAATATACAAAATCAGATCGCACTTAGTCTTTCAATACAAAATGCAATACTACTGAGTAAAACAAATGTTATGGTTGTGAAATTTGAAAAGTCAGGGAAGTTGTATAACAGTTTCCTTCAAGTCTTGAAATCAAAGTTATGTAGAAGTTATCAAATTTCATTCGAAAACTTTGCTGATAATAGGAAGAAAGATCAAATAATACGCAATATAAGTAAGTAACTGTTGTATGACACAATTTAAGCTGAAGAAAAACACAGGTTATTGAACAATAAAACATTCCAATTCAATGGGAATACATATTGTGAATAATCTATGTTAATCGGTGGTCAATGGAAAATGTAATATATCATTAGTATCTTCTGTTCATTCACTTCTAGTCTCATTACTTTGATTCGGACTGCACTGGTTGTATTCCTCAGATCATATCTCTTATTTAATAGCTTAATATTGAACTTCATTAGTTGAGGTGTTTTCCTATTAAATGAAACCATTTCCTTTCAAAATGATAACTTTTTGAGTAAATATAAATAAAGATTTAGAAATAATATTAATAATTTTATATCATAATTGACTTCTTTTCATATAAAGGACTTGGGTTGTTCAACTATATCACAGGCATTAGCTTCACCTTGTTTTTCATCCGAAATTCTCAATTCAGATGAAAATCAACGCGGTTTAATCCGATTGTTTCTATCAGAAAATATGATAACCAGATCAAGTATGAATAAATTGGCAACTGGACTAATACGCTGCACACGTTTAACAACGTTACAATTATCTGGGAATTTAAATATTGGCTCTTCCGGTTTATTTGATTTGAAGTCAAGTCTTATCAGTTGTCCATGTTTAAAACGTTTGGGTATTGCATTTTGTGGTATTGATCATGATGGTGCAGCATGCATTACAGAAATATTAATAAAAACAACATCTCGTTTCAAAGTAATAGATCTGACAGGAAATCCTATTGGGATAGAAAATTGTTTAGCATTATTAAACTCTTCAGCTTATTTAGATGAAAAAGTTAGAATAATAGGTTTAGGTAAGTTTGATTTTATTTAAATCATATATTAAACTCTATATGAACATGTACACAAATAACTATGTTTAATTGTGTTTTAGAGTTTCAACCATCATCGTTAATGCAATATGCAAGAAAGTTATCGGAAAAAGAAAATAATAGTCTTTTACATCAGAGTAATGTGAGTAGTATATTTGATTTATTTTCTTGGTCCTTTAGGTTTGCTATATGCTCATATGAGCGTAATACGCTTCTCGTTGTTCGTAAAAAATAGGTTTGCTATATTTGTGAAAGTTTACTGTGTTATTATTACTTTAGGTTTAGAGTATGTAATAAACAATTTATCTGTCGTCAGACAGGTTTTCATGTTCCTGATACAAATGAAGTACATTGATCTAAAGTTCTATATCTGCATGGATCAAAATGAATGGAATACTCAGTGTCAACATCTAGTCTTTATTAGATTTCACTGATTACTTTCGACATGAACTAGAATTAACTCATTTAACCCATTTTATAAATAAATTTCAAGCTGAGCATATCGGTTAATGTTGATTCTCTTGGTAATTAACACAAAAATTACTTTGCAGTCACCGAAATATAAATCACTCCTGACCTGGTATTGCTACTATGTACAAAGCAAAACAGAATAGGGCTAATGCCTCAAAATACATCAACTCTGAATTGTTCATCGGGGTGTTAAAGATTATTGATTGATCCCCTCTTCATGACCATCTAATAAATAAATGTTTTTAAACGAGATCATGAACCGTTCAATGCTAGGCCATCGTTCGAAATCTGGGAGCACTGAACGGCCGTTTGTCCTAGTATGGGACTCCTCAGTAGTAGGCACCCACGATCTCTCGCACGGGACTTGAACCTATGACTTTTGGTCTCGCGCGTAAACGTTTAACTTTTGGGCTTTGAGCCGGTATCCGCCGCTATTACTGTCTAACATCAGCTGGTCTACGATATTAAGCGGCTATCCTAACTTGTCTTCAGTGATTAACTGCCTTACACCCGACACAAATTAGCTTAACTTAATACGGCTTCTCACTAGAATTCCGAGAAATGCATATCAAAGTCAGTCATTAGCGGACGCATGATAATTATCAGTAAAGAGTTGTTGAGATGTGGATGCCCACTGTTGAGGAGTCCCGTACTAGGACGAAACAGTCTTCCTGTGCTTCCAGGTTTTCAATGATGGTTTAACATTGGTCGGTCCATGATCTCAAAGCTCACCACAACCCTATAGTAAAAATAAATATCCCATAAATAACCGTCTTATTCTTCTCAAGTCAATAAATTGTGTCTCGTATGGAGCTTTGGGAACTAACACAATTAAACTACTTTTCAGCAACCAGATTGTATGCCAAGTAGGGAATTCTTTAGTTTTTAGTTTAATATATGCCAGTTGTCAGTGTTAATAGCTACAGTTGATATATAGTACCTAAAGCGGATTATTTCGGTATTCCCTTTCAGTTACAAGTTTCAGCAACTCTGGTTTACTACTTAATGTGAAGAGCAACAAGAAAATGTAAATAAATCCTAGGAACGAGCTCGAATAAGGATGAGAATGATGTTCTGAACCTTACTGCTAGTTGTACACATCACTCAAATTTCTCTATTTTAATATAACGATGACCCTCAGATCCTCGGAATATTTTTTTCATCAACAGTATAAATATGTCTCAAAGGACGTTAAACTTTACTCTGGAATATTTTTTTTAAACTATCTACTCATTTTCTTCACTACCAGTACTGAAATTATAAGATCATTGCTAATGATAGATATTTGAATATATCTTAGATAGCACATCAATAATTACCATAATAAGTCAACATTTAAAATATTTGCAGTAATTCATCCGTAGTGATCACTGCTATAAGTAACCCGTTTGATAGCTTTAGAGTTATTATACCTGTTTTTATCCGTACTTTATTCGTAGTACTTTGTAATTCTACTTGCTGACAACAAGGGTTTACTAAAGAAATTTATATATTAAAATCCCTTTTACTTAGAAAATTGTATAACAATGCCTACGGTTACGGTAAAAATGGTCCCAAATGATGTTTTATGTATTCAGTAGCACAATCATTTTTACTCTGTAATCGATTCTTCAACTGCTATAACTGTGACGGCAGATTTCTGGGTAGCGAATTATCGATCGGACCAAAGACACGCAAACACGTAGAACGGTCTAGGGTTCTGATTGGTCGCGCTTCCTTGTCTAGCCCAGCAGTTGAGCCTAGAACGCAAGTCACAGCCTCGGATATATGAATCATTATATTTCAAACATACTTTGTTTATATACCAGTCAAGCAGACCACAACGTACCATAAAATAGGGAATAACATTGTACAATATTAACCAGTAGGAAAATGACATGTGAAACAAGTACTGACCAATAAGTAAATAATACCATCTCCAAGTCCAAGAATAGCATTAGACTTAATAGGATAATTTCTGGGATATTTTCCTGAATATCCCAACATCAACTTACATTGGTTTCCTAAATGCTAGGAAAAGTAAATTGCTACATACCTATCATAAGTTGGGAATCATGTATGGTTTCCAATTCATTTGAATATAGAAAACTGAACTATTTAAGCTCAACTCTGAGTTTGATCAGCTATTATCCAAGTATTTTTCCGTTTTAGTCCGGTCATACAAGCTATAAATCATTTACACTACGTATATTTAATGTAGATTTTGGTTTAATTGATTGATTAATTAATTAATTAATCTCTTAGAACTGAATTTAGAAATCGATATATCCATTAATGGAACTACACTTTATGTTCTGTAAACAGAGTATTTTCTTTGCATAATGGTTTTTCCGACTGTTTTTTATTCCGATGTCAGGATAATTCACAGGTTCAAAGTGATGGACTGAATCCAGATAGAGATTATCAACGGCCTAAGCATAAGAATCGGAGACATTCTCAGATTAGTTCTTCGAAACATTCAATTTATGGAAAAAGTAAATTCACTTCCTTACCTACAATTGACTACAAACATAAACCACATTCAGAACTTAATCCGAAATATTTGTGGGGTGACAGTTCAGACGATGAAGACAGAGTGAATGATTCTGATGATAACAGTGTATCTGTAATTACAAAAACAAATAGAAATTACCTTTCAGAACAAAACTACAAACAAACTAGCGAAAACGAATGGACAAAACACCATTCTATTAGTTGAACTGTATACATATTTTCATGAGATTCAAATATTTTATGGAAAATTCCTCTCGCTGTCTTCAGTCTTAACTTGATTGTTAGATGTATACAAATGTATCAAATAACCTTGAATAATGTAAATTACACAGCCCTTACTGTGTACTTACATCACTGATGTAAAGTCGTCAGATTTCTATCAACAGTCTTTTGTAATTAATATATGTATTTTTCCACTAAATTTCCTTAGATTCACTATAAATCTTCGAAATTTCAATGTTTAACTAAAGATTATCATAGCAAGGTAAAATATGAACTACACATTAAGCAGAAAAATTAAACTCTTCACTGAAAAGATTTTCACTTACAAAATTCCTCATGTTTCTACCACGATTTGAAGTGGATATACATGTCTATGATAATTGGAAGTATTTGAATTATAGTATGAACTAAGAATCCCAGAAATAACGCAGTCAAGAAGTACTAGATAAGCACAAACAAATGTACTGTATTTAGAATTCGATATCAAGCATTCAACAAGTTGTTATAACTGTGAGGCGGCAGACTGATTAGAGGGTAGCGAATTATCGATCGGACCAAAGACACGCAAACACGTAGAACGGTCTAGGGTTCTGATTGGCCGCGCTTCCTTGTCTAGCCTAGCAGTTGAGTCCAGAACGCAAGTCACAGCCTCGGATATATGAATCATTATATTTCAAACGTACTTTGTTTATATACCAATCAATCAGACCACAACATACCATAAAATAGGGAATAACATTGTACAATATTGACCAGTAGGAAAATAACACGTGAAATAAGTACTGACCAATAAGAAGATCATACCATGTCCAAGTCCAAGAATAGCATTAGACTTAATAGAATAATTTCTGGGATATTTTCCTGAATATCCCAACACAAGTACAAAGGAATCATTAGTTCATTCAAACACCACAGTGTCATTGGTGTTGGAATATACAATATATAAGTACTATCAACCAGTATCAGATACATTAAATTTAATCTTACTGGTAATTTATCTATGATGTTTGAAAACAAATATCGTCTTCACTCAGTTACGATTGAAGTATTTTAAATAGCTGTAGCCAACAAAGTGGTGTTATAATGTTTTAGATTGAAAAAAATTAAAATTTACACAACTATTCGATGACTGAAGTGGTTTGCAGCATTTTAAGTAATTAATGAATGCAGATAACAATAGAATGTAATAAATAATAGTTAGCTTTTATCTTCCACATTGTTCCTCCATCAATTCCAATGACGGCTTTCTTAAGCATTGCTATTAACGTCTATTTTGAGAGGTGTTTTTCACTTGAAAAACTTGTGCAAATCAATCTGTATTCATCACAGGTCAGAATTTATTAATAAAACTATGTACAAGCTATTTACAAGGGAAACGTATACTCAGATAATTATGCACTAACCATTATGATGTAATGTTGGCACAGGTCAAACGATTTCTGCTTATTGTACTGTAGAATGTACCCATCAAACTGTTGGATGTAACAGAGTGCAAAATATTTTGCCATTATCTTCCATTTCCAATGATTTAGAAATATGTAAAATCTACAAAACAATGTTGCAAACATAATAATTTATCCGAAATAATTGAGAGTACAACCGATTGCATATTCGAGTAAGAACACACATAATCTCTTTAGTGCATATGCGAACTGAGTTGCCTACGGTTTTATAAAATTTCTGAAGACTGGTTACAAACCTAACACGTCATAAAATAGGTATTTTCAAATGGGTCAAGACTTTCAGTAAGACCTCTAAACATTTAGAAGATAATGTCTGTCCAAGATAGCTGTCAACCTTCAGTGTCTTTAAAAAAAACATCAAGAAATACAGTTGATTTCGTGTTGAAAATATTCAACAATTAAGAAGCTGTGTAGACGGAATATTAAAGTCAAATAACTTGTGTGATATTTGCAATCAAAATTTAACTATGGTTGAGGCGTAGTTGCATTTTATTGTCATTCACGTAATCAAATCCCATAGTACAAGACAACTGAGCATTGTAACTATATCATTCATAAGTGTTGTTTTTGCTTGACAGTCATGTGAATGAAAGATCATCACCGCATATATATCAATGAAGTATTTACAACTTCAAATCCTAACTTTTCAAGCTAATGAATTAATTTCACTTGGTGTTGTTTGCTTGTGTATTCTGATTGTTGTTTAGGATTGCAATTGATCAGTCTGTTATTGGCATATGTGCATCCTGTGCAGATTGTCTCGATTTTACCTTAAATCACAAGCTGTATATGCAAAGATGGATGGTGGCTAGAAGTGAAATCCAATTTGGGACTCGACAACTGGATTTACCTGAATCTTAAAGTTGACAATCACTGCTGGATTCGAGTTAATGTAGTGAAATGATTAGTAAACTTATAATATCTCATTAAATTCATTGGTTCTAATTTATTCAAAGAAAATCAACATAGAGCTATTTAATTAAACTAAACTCATCATATTATGATGAGAATTCTGTATTGTACCACAAATGTAAAATTGAATAAATTCACTAATTATAATAATGATAATCTAAAATTATAATTTGTTTACAAAGTTGTACGTGTTAGGAATTCCGTATGGAACGTAAATTGTGTTTTACACAAATTAACTATCTCTATTATTTTATTGTCAACAATGGAAAAGTAAAACAAATCTACAATCATTACAATGCCGCTAACATTAACGGTTTGAACTATTCAGTTATCAGCTCTACTGATTGATCATTGTGAGAGAACCAATATCGTATAGTTCCAGTCGTTTATTACTGTTCAAATTCTGTTGATGAAGTGTATGAGTTATCCTTGTAGACGAAAGAATACAAATCATGCTTTACGTATGTCTTTACTTGGTGATAATGATCGATAGATTGACAAGTCGAAAATCTCCCGTTATACATCATAATTATTACTATCGAGGCGACAAGTAAAGTAGGTGACAAGGACACGGGTAGGGACAACCAAATATATTGAAAAATGAAATTACAGAATTTCTTAGTAAAACTTGAGAATGGTACATCAAATAATTCATTCGCAAAATATCCATAAATTGTCTCAAACTTCGTTGATCCTACGTCTCCATACCAATCACTCTTTGTTCTCGTTCACTTCTCTTTTGTCTTCTTGACATACTGCCTCCAGGCATTCCACTTTCGATTGGTGATTCATACTACTTATATCTGCTGACATCAGTAGTACACACACCACACTATTATTATTGTGTGTATTTATTGTACTTAAAATGATAGTATTGGTTTGTAATCTTAGTTTGCATATTTCTCCTAATAGTTTTAAACAATTCACAATGATAGAAACTTATATTAACAATATGGATATTTAGAACAAACAGTTTGTATTGAAAAGGAAATCTATCAACTACAATGAAAACAACATGATATGTTTCAACTTGTTTTATGTTTATAAATACTAACATTCCTGCACCAACCAAGCAAACTCCCATTGTAAATAATTATAAAAATGATTCGTGATAATGTTCCATCGAAAATGATAAACATTCTGAAGTACAACCTAAATGCTAAATTACAACCATAGTTCACATCAGTTTTGCAAATATTAACTTTCATAAGCTTCTTTTGTTTATTCCTTAATGAAAATACCATTTTAACTATTGACTGATTTGCTTTAACAATGAGAATGACTAAATTCGTTTAATTTATGCAGAATCATTTACATATATCGCCACTAAAATAAATGTAGGTGGTCAAATTTCAAATTTCTGCTGAATATAAACAAGTAAATAATTTTCTTGAAACCACTAATCAATCTAAGTCAAATAACCATCGAAAACCTGGACCAGTTCGTGATTTCAATCAAACTGAACAATTTGCACAGCTTCGTAATGAAAGGCAGTAATTGCAAATAATAATAAAGAGTTCCTATCATGGTGGTTGTTAGTCGTATTCTACAACATACGTACACAAAGAAAGGTTCGTTTACTTATTCTCATTGGAAACGAATGTGTATTACTTACAATATGTATTCTCTCTGATAAATATCTATAAAAGAGATTACGTCAGCTGCAACAAAATTCACACTGAATTAACTGAATGCTTCCTCCGTTTACGCATACATAAACGTACATGCAATCGCTTGCATCAGTAAAAGAAGACAACTACTGATACGAGTTTGATTGAGGAAACCTCGAAATTCTGGATTGACTGAATTAAAACTATTGAGAAAATTTCTGGAAACACAGAACTGTATTCAGTCAGAATTCATTAGGCATTTCATCGTGGACCTATTTTATAGACCTATACAGGAAACATCAGTTAATCATGTGTCAATAGGTTAACAGAATAAAGTGATCATTAGGAATACAAAGATAAATACAGCCAACTAAACGTCTGAGAGTAACCACTCACAGATAAGCTAGTCAGAATGAGTTAATTTCTACCTGAACCAAAATAAACTAGATCACACCAGTTGTTCTTCTAGGGTTACTGTCGATTCCGATCCCGGAAAAAGGAGGAGGGTTGAGTATGAGGACGGCATGAAGAAACCCCATGAAGAAACAACCCTGCTAAAAATGCTAACCAGAATAAACATATTAAACCATTTGAACTGTGTTGTCTGAGTTGAAGTTTCTTGCTTCTGAAGAATTATGACACCTCGTGGTGAATGCCGTTCCCCGTCTAACATCAAGACCAGAGCAATAATTTTAATAGGTGCATGGAATGTTCAGAAAATGTGGGAAACCGGGAGAACTAGTTAAACAGCCATGGAATAGGCGGTGCTCAAAATCACTGAAACACATCAGATCCAAGCTTGACAGAAATGAATAGATTCAGAAGAGATGCTTCAGTATTCAGATCATGAAGAACAAAGCGTCACACACATTCAGTGAATTTCTCTGATGCTGTCCAAAGAAGCACAAAATGCGTTTATCGGATGGAAATCTCATAGACCCGCGATCATCAAAGAATCTTTCAAAGCAAAGCAGGAGAAAACTGCGATGCATTTCAGCCAATATAATGCACCCACTAAGAATAACAATGACCACGAAATAGATTAGTTTTACGAGAGGCCGCAATCGATCACAGCGAAGTGCTCATTGAAGTACTTGGTCATCCTGATGGAAACCAAAACACCATAGTCAAAATGAACAACACCAGGTTTTAAGATATCATAGGATGACATAGACTGACTAAAAGAAACAAACGAGAATTTTGAGAGATTTGAAAATTCATGTGCATTCAACAACTTGGTTATAGATGATACATTATTCCTACAGAAAGCTACATGTGTCTCAACGGGCCACATCACACAGAACAAGATCGATCATATTTGTACAACTAATATATTCACAAGATCAATTGAAGGCGTGAGATCCAGGAGACGAGAGGACATAGTTTACGATCACCACCAAATACAATCGTGAAGGTTCAATACAGCCTTCTTCGACATACAGTCGAATTCAACAAATTCAAGATCTCTCTCAACAACACGTTTCAAGCCTCACTACGTCTAATACAAGATGAAGAAACTTGTATGGAGGTCAACTGGAAGGGGATGACAGAAGCACGAACTTCGATGTGTCAGGAGGTTCCGGGCCTCAACAAGCATCATCATAAGTAATGGGTCTCTTTCCAAACTCCGGACAAGATTCAAAAAAGGAAGATCAGGGAGAAAGCAGTTAACAACAGTCAAACAAGAACAGAGAAAGTGAAGACACAAGCTGAGTTCATCGAAGTAAGCAAGTAAATGAAGAGCAGCATTAGAGCTGACAATCAATAAAACGTGTAAGAGCTAGCAGCGACAGCAGAAAAAGCTGCAAGAGAAAGGAATATGAAACAAATAAATGACACAGTGAAACGTTTACGTACCCGGAAGCACCTTCGACGAACAGATAGTATCTGACGCAAAAGTAAATGCACGGATCAGCAAGTGGTTGATAGTTGAAAGCTACTTAAAATTTCGTCACAGTTCAAATAAATTTTTGGTATTTATTCAGTTGATTGAAGTTAGTTATTTATTCGATAAGTTTCGATATTTTCATTCAGTTCAAATAAAATTCATACTTCAAGATACTCCACAATATTAAATCTTACACATGATCTTTACAATAAATCCGTATTGCCTATAATTCTTATTTCATTCTGTTACAAAAGTTTCGATTATTCTTTTAATTTAGGTAATCTAACTTCAATAATTAGTATTATTATTACTATTTGTAGTTGCATATCATTCGATAATTATTGATCTGCTTGAATATCTGGGCTCTCTGTTATTGTCATCTAGATATTTCAACAAGTTATCTAATTCCTTGTTTACTTCAACAGATCATCATGTCAATCAGTTGAATAACCTATATCATGTGCGTTTTTGAAAAGTGTACGACCTTTCGCTGTACATGTTACAAAAATTTACCATTGAAGACATCGTGATGGCTGGCAATATGCATTGAAAGAATGTCGACTTCTGAAATGCTGATAACAAACTGATGATCACTGAATATTTATCATCAGGATCGATCAAGGAATAATAAACGCTGAGGATTTTATATTGTGCAGAAAATATAATATTGAATAAAGCTAATAATATTAATGAATAACTTTTTTGTAAACTGACCACTTCTACTTATCGACCTTTTTAGCAATAGTCAATAAATTCAAAATGTAATATCAATTCAACACATTAAATTATATCCATAATATCAATATCAGATATTTGAAATGATGTCCACATCATCAATGTCGAATTGTTTTTTCATTAGTACACTTCCAGATTATCTTCTTGATCGAAAAGTAATTATAAACAATAGTCATGTACATTCTATAAGTGGATTTAAACTTGCTAAAGCAAGTACAATATTTAAACATGAACTTATTAAATTACGTCAATTTGAATTAATAAATTATTATTATAGAACAAGAAGAAGAAAAACAAAAACAACAACAACAATCATTAAATCAAAATATCAATTACAACCTAAAAGTTTATCTGATTTACAATTTCAACCACTTATAATTAATTATACAAATATTTATGCATTAGAATGTTTATTATCATTTATTCATTGTAATCATGAAACTCGTTATAATTTATTAAATAATAATATTAAATCATCTACTATTAATTCATTATTAGAAGTAGGATTATATTATGAAACATTTGAATTTATAAATGATTGTATTCAAATAGTTCAATATAAATTAAATATAAAAAATTGTTTAAATTATTGGCTAAATTCTAAAAAATTAATAAATCAATTACCAAATTATCAATTGATCATTTTAAATTATTTATTATTTCATTTTATTGAAATTAGTCAATATGAAGAATTTTTAAATATAAATTTTAATGAATTTAAAAAATTATTAATAAATGATTTATTAAATATTTCAAATGAAAAATATTTATTTGATCTTATAATAAAATGGATTAATTATAAATTAATAGAAAGACAATTTTATATTTATGATTTATTAGCATGTTTAAGATTAGGTAGATTATCAAATGAATATTTAAATGATATATTACAACATTCATTAATACAAATAATGTGGAATTCATGTCAACATTTAATACTTTTAGCACGTTATTCTAATATTGAATTAATTTCACAATTTAATAATAAGTTAACTTTTAAATTAAAAAATGAAATTGAATTATTCACATATCTTCATAAACCACGTCTTCCTCATAATGCAATTTTTGTTATTGGTGGATGGGAAGGAAATCAACATGATTCTTATTTTGGTCCATCTAAAATAATTCAAGTGTATAATTCACGAGCTAACACTTGGCGTCGTATAGATTCTAATAATTTAACACTTAATGTAGGTCATGCTTATTCTGCTTGTGTTTTGCATAAAACACAAATTTACATTGTAGGTGGTTATCTGCCTAGTGGACCAACTCAAACTCTTAAAGTTTTTGAATTAACCAATCATACATGGAAGATTTTATCACCAATGCATGAGAAAAGAAATTATGTGTGTGCATGTAGTTTAAACAATTATATATATGCTATCGGTGGACATAATGGGAAATTTCGACTGAGCTCAGTTGAACGGTATGATATAGAACAAAAGCAGTGGTTTTTTGTTTCACCAATGCATCAAGTTCGTAGTGACGCTGGAGCTCATTCATTTTCAGGGTTTATATATGTTGTCGGAGGTTTTGATGGTGAGCATTTTCATAATTCTGTAGAGATGTATGATCCCCGTACAGATCAATGGTCAATAGTAGCTCCAATGAATAGTATTCGAAGTGGTGTTAGTGTTATTGTATATGGTCAATATTTGTATTCCATCGGTGGAAACGATGGACATCAAAGACTACGAACAGTAGAACGATATAATCCGGATACAAATCGATGGCAAATGATGCCTTCAATGATGCATAAAAGAAGTAATTGTTGTGTTACTACATTAGACGACATGATATATGTCATCGGAGGTTGGAGTGATGCAACCAATTCAACAATCTCTTCAGTTGAACGATGGTCTCCGAATTCTTCTGGTCTTTGGGAACCCGCAAGAGAATTACACATCCCAACAAGTGGGAATTGTTGTTGCACTGTGACTGGGATAAATTTATTATTAAACTTCATATGAAAGTAAACAGAGTATAAATAATAAATTTGCAATATCCCAACGAGTAGAAAATCATTTTTTCTGAAGTTTCGTGGCTTAGTGTAAGTCACTTCTTTGGAGAATAAAATGTTTATGTTTGGCCATAATATTTCTAACTTTGCTCGATAAATAGATGGGAGAAAATAACTTTCCATTATTATGCGTTTATGCTACATGTCAGTGCGGAAAATGAACACAGCAAATCTTAAAACTTCATCATCAATTAAACGTTCATGTACCTTGTGTTGGGTCACTTTGTTGATTCAATATGCTACTTAGTTTACAAAACTCGAAACAACTACAGTAGAGTTCAAGCATGTAAACTAGTGACTAGATTTTGAGTGATCCAATAATTATTAGCTTATCTGATCGTAACAGTAGAATTCATCAGTTATGTTATGAACCTGTAGATCGAGAGGAATATAACAACGTACTGTCAACACCAACATTAATTCAACTTATCATGAAAACATTACCCAACTTAATTAGCTTTTGATATGAGTAGGAATGTACTTCGAAGTAAAACCCAGTGAAAAGTGGTATTCACTGTAGCTCTCATATTTACACTTATCGAGATAGAATAAAGCCTTAGTTTTTGTGATATTACTGAACAAATGGTTAAATACTTAATGTTTCTTTTACTTTATCACGAATATCGTAGTTTGAGCCCAAGTTTTTGAATAAATTCCATACCATTAGTATTTACCGTGGCCAAGCTCCTTTATTAAGTTTTAGAACATTAGTTTATACTCAATTATAAATTGGAAATGAGTCTCGCATTGCAGAGTTTTGTTTTCTTTACAAAGTTTTTTTTCTGACATTCCATTACAGTCACATGAGATACATTTGATCACAGGTCACATTGCTGATTTTAGAAATAATCTTCAAATCAGCTTGTTGGAGGATATCATGTTGATTATTTTATTGAGACAAAAACCTAACATACTGATCTGTCTCCTGGAGTTAAATTACAATTCTTAGTTATTTCAAGGACTTGGAATATTTCATGAGTGATTATGTCACACAACATCTCCAATCTGTATTTACACAGAGGGATACCTCGATGTTTAGAAACAGACAACTAAAGTGAATGTATTTAATGTGGCCACGTGATCTAAGTGACTTTTGTTCTGATCCTTGTAGAATTATCAAACAATAAAATATCTGTACAACATAGACAAGCTGGGAACTCCTCATAGTCAACAGTCGTCACTATAACTGAATGCGAAGCGATATGATACTACAGATCACATAGAAATGTACAGAACTCGATCAGCTCATTTATCATTCCACTCACTCGTAACGCCCTTCTGTTATCAATTACGCTTATACGATTAGCAATGAAAAATCTGTGGTGTTTTTATGAACCAATGAATGATTCATTTGTACTTGGTGTCTGCCTGATTTCGAATTCCAAATACAATACGCTTGTTAGTGCCCACCTATTTCTGTCTACTTAGATTGCGCAATTTCAGAAATTCCTTGTTTGTTCAATAATTCAAATAATTCTAATGATCACAGAAACGGCTAGTAACTCTTAAATTAATTGATCAAATATGCCGATTGGTTGGTAATATACAATGTGGCCTAGTGATAACTGACTTATGCCTCAAATGAATATACGAAATATGGAGTCCATGAGTGAACATGTTTCGAAGTCACATAACAAATGATCTATTGGAGAACATGGAAACCATAGGCCATTCTCTCTCAATGGAGTTATTGCCTACCCATGAGGCCTAATTCTGCCCCGTCATATAAACTTTACCAACGAGTTTCAAATGAAACGTTTCGGAATGGGTGGGGACATAACACGGGCTATTATTCGTTTTAGCATAGATAAAAACAGAATAAGCAGATTCATTATCAGCAAGCCAGAAAAAGCAAATTGGCGAAATAAAGTGTCATATTTTAAACTTTAAATTTTATGCAAAATCGAGAAAGCTATGTGTACTGACTTCGCTATAACTTAGGAAATCTGTAGGCTCGGATGCTCTTAATATCCTGGTCGATCTATCACGAATAAAACTTAAGAGAGCATTCCTGATGATTTAAAAGTTGCATGCGCATATACTTAAGTGGTCAGCATCATATCAATCACCAATATTTTCAGGATAAAACAATTATGACAACTAACTCTCTGAATATACAATTATTACTGATCAACACTGTATTCGGTCTAGTAAGATTGAACTAATTGAACCAGAAGCGGCTTATGACCAGTTCGCTAAGTGTTATCTAGCCATGAAATTTCTTCACTGTGGTAATTTCCATCTCTTCAAAAATGTATATTATCATTTGAAATTCTGTTCACCAATAGATACAAATCAATGTTAACAACCAAGAACCGTGATTTGTATGTAACAGCTTTGATGAGTTAGGAGTTGACGTCAAACAGCTAAATATATGTCAAAAAATAAAGCTCAAATATTCATTCACTTCCTTATTTTGTATAGACATCATATTTCCTATTATCTTATATTGAGTGTTGAAAGGCTTTGTGTATTTGAACAGGTAATCTCCGTCTCCATTGTGACTGTCCCACGACCTAAATAAAGACCTGTTCACCGCTAATCTAGTTTCTTCTATCAATAGAACGAGGGTTAACTACAGGTACTAAAAGTACTTCATGTATATTTTTTCTATGCACAATGTATTCTTGATACACAAGGACAGTTATCAGAATAAATAATCTCGATCTCTCATCAGTACATGGTTTATTCATCAGGTTATTTAATTCACGAATTTCGCCTAGAAACGAAAATCTAGTTTTCCAAAACTGTACAATGAATTATGTTCATACAATTGTGTTCTTAATATAATGGGAATTTTTCAGCAATTATGTAGTATTTAATGCCATCTTTGCAAAATACAGAACAATAATCGAAATGCTGAGCATTTAGATATGCTATAAATTTTTAGTTTGTTTCACTGATTAATTTCGTTTGGTTTTTTTGCTGAATGTGTGATTAAACTCAAAGTAAGGAGAATTTTTAAAAACCGTATTCATAATTTCTATCTGAAGGTTTGAATGTTCTGGTTTTCTTGTAGAAAAGAAGAGTGAAATAATAAATATTGTATTTAATGTGAACACAAATGGGGCAATCGAATGCATTTGAACACAAAATTACAGGAGCACTTAGTAAAATCTGAGACCCATACAGTAAAAAATTCATTTGCAAAACACCATTCACCAGTTTCAGAATTCATTGTTCCTTCATCTCCACATGAATTATTCTCTGTTTACGTTCTCTTTCCTTCGATCTTCTTAATCTTCTCCTGCTGGGTATTTCACTTTCAATTGATGATACATACTACTTATATCTATCGACGTCAGTAGCTCACACCTCAATATCTTTGCCAGTTAGTGTGAAATAAGCCTTCTGGAATTGAAGAAGGCTAATTTCAACATGTTATTCAAGTCACTGTATTTCACTTAACAAACATAATGAGACTTTGATACTACTGAAAACAAAAGAATTACATCTGGTATAAAAATGCAGAAACAACAGTGACTAATGTATCCAATTTAGCTTTAATTTTTAAAATGATGTTCAATTAAAATTACTGAGTAGGTCTGTCAACAAAGAACAGCTCGATGGTTACTAAAATTTAAGCAGCTGGGTTGTCTGTCTACAACAGTTCTTTACCATTTTCAAAAAGATACCTCAACTTCTTATTTCACGAACATGAGAACTAAGATAATAATATTGTTCTGTGTGTTACTGATGTCAACAGATATAAGTAGTTCGTACCATCAATGGAAAGTGAGATGCACGGAGACAGGAAGTTAAGGAGATCGAAGAGAAGAGGATGAAATCAGAGTGACTGGTGCGAAAAAGAAGGATCAATAAAGTTTGAAATAACTGACAGACATTTTGGAAAAAAATTATTTAATACACGGTTCTCAAACATATTAAGTTATTTTGTAATTTCATTTTTTGAATACAGCATTACATAAGATATATGACGCACGAAGGGCTACTAGAAAAATATCAAACATCGTAATTTGTGCAAACTTGAAATGATTGACCACATTATTGTTCTGATTATGGATTAACAAACATGCCACCAATTTCGTGTACGTTTCAGGCACTGTCAAATTTACATATCAACAGGTTATCAACATCTTGGATATTTTTCAGGGAAACTCTGCTCCACACTTTTTATAATGACTGAATCACTTGCATAGTACACATTTGAAACTATATTATTCGAAAAGTCATGAAATCATCATGATAAGAATGTAGATCACCGACGTAGATGATCTATGTCAAAATGATTGGAGGCCAACTCGAGTTAGACGTGAAGCTAACGTCGAAGTCACACCTCGCGGTCAGCACCTTACGTGGACTACCCCATCGACGTATCAAAACCATAGATGGTTTGAAGACTGTACAACAGAAAGGATGTTGTAGGGCCAGCGAAATGTCACTAAGCCCTAGCCAAATCATCCGGCAGTCGGGTCGTTGAATATCGAGCGAATGATCTATCCTCGTCAAGATCAAGGGCGACCAACGCGTATCAGTTAATCGTATACCATGGACTGGCCCATGTGGCAGTGGTCTTACTTTCGATTGTATCTACTTCAACTAATATATTTCTGTAATAATGTCGTACTGAATATGTCACTTGACGCCAGGTAATGAGCTCTTTGTATAAGCCTTTTACGAATTGGCCACGTTACCTGAACCCTCTAAACTTTAGTTACATTGGTGGTTACCAATTTAATTCATGTTTATTATACTCCTTGTATTTGCTATTATTTCACACGGTAAATCATGGCTCGACTTCCTTATTACACGACAGTCATTTTAACTCCATTTTCGGTTTGTGATCTAAAATGTCATTACAGAAATATGTTAGGTAACGCAGATACAACGAAGGTAACACTACAACCGCATGAGCGCGCGATTAACTGATGCGCGCTGGTTGTCCTTGACCCTGACGAGGATCGATGATTTGTTCGATAATCAATGACACAAATGCAGGATGATTTGGCTAGGGTTCAGTTGAATTTCACTGGTCCTACAAGAATATTCGACTGAAGTATATTATGTGAATGAACCGATTGATTTTTGCTGCTCAGTTTTCCCCACATCATACATGATGTAAGAACGTGATGAAAACTTCACTAGTTCACCAACCGAAATTATCTATTGATGTTTACATTTACTACTGCTCATAACAGTAATACGTTTTTATTATAAACCGCTTCATAACCAAAAGTGTTAATGAGTTGATTAAAATGTAGTTTAGGGTCAACTATATACTTTTTTTTCTAACAAACATTTCTTTGTAATGAACAGACTGAAGTGACCTAACCCGTTACTTTTAATGAACTAAGAGCATCTCGTTACCAATAGCAATGTCCAGCGCTATGAATAAGACAGCAGCCATTGTTACTCCAACTTCAGCTGTGTAAGTTATAGTTTTAGTTATCATTTGAAGTTTCTTACATCATAGGTGTAAAAGTTTGATCTTTCAACATGTGAATTGCTAGTTAAAATTCAGATAGACACAAAATGAAGTCACCTAAAAAAATTACTTGTACACGTCACAACTAATAATCCAGTCTAGTTTAGCCGACCTATATAACTAACAGCTGTTGGTCGCTCTTAGTTTGGTTAATTTATTGTCTTCTAAAAAAACCTATATATATCCAACTAATCATTCAAATAATTGCGAAATCATAAATGTCGACTGGCTATTGATACAGCTGTGGTTATTCATATGACAATATCTACTAGAATGTACTTAGATATATACAAACTAAGAAGCGACGCGGAGACGGGCTTCGAAAATGCCGGTTGGTTTGGCTCTGCCAACCCTGTTTTCCAGTAGTGATCCAACTTCTCTTTGAGAATGTTCACCAATTAGGCTGGTGCTACTTAATCAAGTAGAACGTACTATTCGTTCATCACATATTTAGAAAAACGGTATCCCACTACTAGTCAATTTACTCACTCTACTAACCTTCTTGGAGTAGCCTTGAAGGTACTTTGTCCAGGTTTAAGGTATGGATTTCGAATTTACCATTGATGTTCTCCCAAATATTTAGTATAATTTTAAAGTAATAGGTCAAGCTATCATAAATTGTCCATTAGATTTCGTTCCCTTCGTCGTAGTATCAGTTCTTTCTCCTCTCGTAAGGGCCAAAATCTAACACCTATGAAATCCATATTTCAATTTATCAACTGAAATATTTATATGCTACGCGATACTGGACTATCTATAAGTAATACATTTTAAATAACCAGCTATGCCATTCAGATGAGTGGTTCTACCTGAAAAAAAGTACCAAGGTGTGGTTGCCTGCACACAACCCAATACTCCAACTTTACGTGCAGGCTAACATGCTGAAGTCAAAAACAGTGAACTTTTTATTTATGCATTTTATGCTGGCTAGATACATTTGTCCTCAATAACCCCCGACTCTTTTGAAAAGCAGACAGGAAATACTTGCTACAATATCATGAACCGTTTTATATTTAGCACCATAAATCGTAAAAGTGATAGAAAACCATAAACAACTTAAGAGTTGGACACGGTTTTTGAGATGGTTAGTGCAGACAGTTCTAAACTACGTGAAGATTGGCTATATATTACCTCTTGTATGTATACTGCGGAAAAAAACTTCCGGGTAAATACTGAACAGAAAGCTGCCCTACGCGCAAACCAATTTCGCAAGTATCAACAAGGAACTGTTGAGACTCCACAAGTCAGTAGTACTGAGCGGAGTCTTGGAAGTGGTATTATGGATGTTAAGCGCAACATTTTCTGATAAAACCCCACTTTATTTACATTTCAGATTCATATCGGTATTACCTGGTTGAGGATAAATACACCATGTCTATAATTGAAATAATAAAAGAACGAACATCCGGCTTGAGACTGTCAACTCGAAACGACAACGTGCGAGGATGCTTGATTAAGGAATACCATTTCGACTGCAGTGTACCAACATTCCTCAAAGAAATACACTTCACCAACTCTTACACTAAAAGCGCTTCTGCACACCTATGTTACCAAGACACGGTAATTCCCACCCATACATATAATACGTTTGTTTTTTAGGCTTCTGCAGAACCCGTCTGGGTTAATCTCTTCAAAATTCAGATGATGAAAGACATTCACACCTCCTTTGGTGCATGTGCTCAAGTTAGAATAACACTTCCTCCAACTTTCGAAACAGTTAAATCACGGAAACGGTTATTCAAACTATGTATACAGTTACAACAACCCTCCTTAATGTGGAAAGAATATACAATAAGAAATGTGCAACTTTTTGATGAGTATTTAGACAATCCTAACCAGACTACAGCAGATCCCACTGAAGGTCGACACACACATCTAATCAATGAGACGCAGAATGCTTTGACCACACTTTGCACACTAATAGAATTTAAGCAAACGATACAAAGCCGTGAAGTTAACGAAACAGATATCTTATCCTTATCTGACGCACACTTTGAAATTACTTGAAGTTACCAGAAATTTACAGGAAGACCAATCACGTATTTAACACACCATTGAGATTGAGAAAACCCATCAAATAACGGGAGGATATTTACGAACATTGAAGGCATACCCAGAGCTTATTGGGAATGAGGATGAAGAAAACAAAAAGCGTTCATGGTATGCCGAACTAGTTCTCTCAAATGATAGTGTCAACGACACGAGACAAAGTGGATAGGCAGTCTTACCACATGTTTACTTCTACACCGTAAAATCTGATGGGAATGTCCCATTTCTCGCAGAAACTAACGATATAACTCAAAGTGATGGAGAAAGGACAATCGCTTGCAAAGTATGTGACGTATAGACGCGATACATCTAAAAGAACTGATTGTAATGAGTCTTGACACTTCATAATACAATAATACTGAAAAGGACTTAGTTTCCCAATGCATGAAAATCTAAATTGTTTGTGACTGTAAATTAAATAATACCGAGTATTCGTTATTGCAAATTACTGTAATGTTCTGAAAAATACATTGTTATGTAGTCTTCGACCAGTACATACTTCTTTCTGTAGACAAAGTTAATGCTCGCTGCCGATGTTTATAAAAATATAAACGGCTTCTGGACTTTTGAATGGTCCACTAAGTTCATTTAAGATGTAAATGGTCAGAAGATCAATAAATACAAAGGTAATACTGCGAATCGATTGACATGACAATAGAAAATAATTCTTCCATATGAAAAACTTTTATCAGTAAGCAAAAAGAGTAGCATAGTTACAAAAATTTTCAAACAAGACAAATCTTTGTATACTCATATAATATATGCAGAAAAATAATAACCGCGGATAGTACCTATACATTCTTTATTTACACAATCATATCATTCTACGAATCATTTCATTTAATTGTTCTTCTCGAAACCCTGTTAGAGAATCAACACGAGCGTGACAGCGCCGTGAGCCTGACATCCAATCACGACTGGATGACATAAGTTTGAATGGACATAAAAAGCGCTGAACGGCCATAAAGTTTGAACCAATAGTTACAAGTTCGTGGATAATGTCTTCTATGCACAAAATCCCACAGTGACCTACGAAAAACAAATAGAATAATGATTTCAAAGTGACTAATCTAGATAAGTTTATCCACAAGACTATGAATGTTTGTATGAAGTAACTTGGAAAACTATTGATAGTTTTCGGGATATAAATATCTGCAGTGAAACTAAAATAATATATCATAATATTCTTAACTTATATGGACAAGCAGGCATGAAAACAGACGGTATAAAATGCATCAGTCCATTGTGGTACTTCAAATTAACAAAAAAGGGATGCTATTGTCAAAAGAAAATGAGTCAAACGACAGATACTAAGAGTATAAAGGATAACGCCTTTATCCAGCGGTCACATAATACGAGACCAAGACTAAGATGTCTACCAGTCATAAATGAAGCACAATCTAGCGCACATATGCATCATTTTAAGTTGCTACACGACGTGTATAGTGGGATATCAGAATACTATTAGCAGTTACAGTATTAGCGGTAGTAAAAAAGACTATGCATAAACGATGCGGTTTGAGAAAAGTTTGAATTATGAAATTTAGAACCGAAGGGTGAATGGATTTGAGCCGCATCGCTTAAAGCGTAAAACTACTGGTTATGAAAATCCCACGAAGCACAAATCCAAACGCCCGAATAGATGTAGATTCGCAACCTCATCGGCCGGCTTCTATGTGTACTCAGTATTTACTTACGCCTGTCACCCCTCATTTAGCGCAAACGGTCGACCACAATTCTCTTACCAACTCTGTCCTGGACTCACCTTTAAAGTTACTTCCGAGTGCTATTCAGTCTTTTGATGACTGCCTCCAATTTCAGGAGCAGTGGGTTCTTTGTTTTGTCTCTTTTTGTTATACCTTCAGGATTCCAAGTTAAGGCTCGCCTCGTGACGCAGATGGATGATTTCTTCAATGTATGTCCTATCCACTTCGAGCATCCTTTCCAGATTTACTCTTCAGAAGGAAGCTGATTTGATCTCTGCTATAGTAGGTTCTTGCTGATGGTATCCGATCAACGGACATTGAGTATCTTGCGTGGACAACAGTTTATAAATACCTGTATTTTTTGTGATGATTGTGACAGTTCTCCATGTTTCGACTCCGTATAATAAAACTACCTTAACGTTGGTATTGAAAATTCTAACTGATGTTTTTGTTTAGAATTCTTGATGTTCTTCAGCTGTTGGTGACCAGCGCTTTGTTGGTACGCGTCTTTACATCTGCGTCAGTTCCTCCTTATTTATCGACGATGCTGCTCGGGTGTGTGAACGCTTCCACCGCTTCCAGAGCTACTCTATCAAGTGGGATTGGGTTGGTGCCAACTGTGTCGCATTTTGAGATCTCCCTTTTGTCTTGTGAACGTTGAGGCCTACTGCTGCACAGGCTGCTGCTACATTACCTGTCTTTACCTACATTGATTG